AAATGACCTAATTTGTGAATAGAAACAAAATGCACATATTCAATTGAAGCAACTTCTTAGACCAAGTAAGGCCTCTCTAAGAAGGTGGGATGGAATTAAAGCCAACAGGTGGGAACCACTGTCTGAAAAAAAGAGACCCAGTTTTCAACTAGTGATTTTGACAGCTCTCAAGAGGAAGGATCAGTTCACTCTGATCTCCTCACTATTTGAACACTTCAGGTTTGTGGCGGCATTGTTAATCTTATTAAGAGTAAATCTTGTCTTTCTATTTATATTACCATCTCAAACAGTCACTGCTTACTACTGACCTGAACCGCTGGTGTATTGATTCGTTCTGGCTTACTGTATGTATCCCAAAAAATGTTTTTAAAAATTGTGATTGATGACAGTATAAATTCAACTGGGCATACCAGGCAGAAATGAATGGTATTGACTGGATACCAAATAATGTTTTGCACTTTTCTTTAACTTTAACTGTAACTTATTTAAAAAAAAAAGTATGCTCTATTGTGTCTGTTATTTGAAAATCCATATTACCTGAAATACTCTTTTGTGTTTAAATACAGCAAAAACATTTGCTTAAATTCAAGATCTCAAGAGGAACATTACTGCTGTTTGGCACAATACTGCCTTGGTTTCATATATTATAAAATTGGAAATTTCCAAAATTTTATGTTTATGTTATGCATGTTATCACATTTTTCAGTGCACCCTAGTTCCAGCTTTCTTTAATTCGAAAGTAATGGAGTGTTCTCTTTCTCAAATTAAAAAGAAAATATAGAAACAATAAATAGGACCTTTTTTACTGCCAAATTTACATAAATAAAAAATAAAAATAAAATTTTACTGAGAAACACATGCATTTAATTTGACATTATATTAGTCAAAAAAGTTACGAAAAGTGTTCTGACATAACAAAAATGTGTATAGTGTTAGTACAAATTTTCAATGTAATGCACCAAAATATGATTAAAATCTCTAAAATAAATTAATACATAAAATATCAATAAAAGGCTGTGCTGGGCTCAGTATTTCTGAATCATATTCAGTCTATACATACCATGCAAAAACTTAAAACTATTTTTGTTTCCCTTTCCTCAGGAATAGATATACAGTAATAGATAAACCCGTGGCACAGACAACCACATTGTATCTCTATAGACTGTGGCAAAACAGAAGACTTTTAAAATGTGCTTTTATATCAGCTTATATACATTGCACTCCTATGTTAAGTATTTCTCAAATATTGTCTCATAAAGTTCTCAATTATTTTCTTTATCATATTGACAAAATGTGGAATCATTACGTTTTTATTGATTCAGTTTCTTCCTTCAGCACTTGTACTTACACAGGCATAATGAAGACTCACACAAACACTTTTCTACTAGGTCCACTTATCAATTCATACATTATGACACCTGTAGCACCTTAGGAGCATTAGCATCAATTAAATGAGTGAATTGTCTTTCACTGACGTCACAACAAGCCAGCATTCACCCAGCAGATCTCAGGGATTTTCTATTTTGCAGTAAACTGAGAAGGTCCTGGCTCTATCTATGACCAAACAACCCTCTCAGTACCCAGCCTATTGCATTCCATGTACTTTGGAATTACAAGGTACAGCCAGCTAATTACATACTGTAGCTCCGACTGGAAGCATTATATGGATTTCAAAGACTCTTCAAACATTTATAGAGATTGTTTGTAATTGCTTTGCAAATCTTTTTCATATACAATCTGTAAACCACAAGACAAATGTAGTAAATAAGCATTAAATGCTATTTCAATTATTACAAACCTGTAATTATATAATTATATTTGGATTTCTTTACAACAATCAACCTCAAGTGAAGGAACATGCAACTTGATCACACTTATAAGTCAACTTACAACATTAAACAACATGTCCAGCAAATCTAAGTTTCCTGAAAATAAACATTAAAATTAACATTATTTTTTACTGTATATACCATAATCAGAAAGCCATAACCAGGTCAGTGTGGTTGAAACCTGTAGATAGCTGTAACATGGTGAAAGAATTTACAGCAATTTAAATCACAAAATCTCTTAAATCTCTAGTTATAGTGGGCAAATGACAAAATCACACATACACTCTGAACTGTTAAATATTTTAGTTAGGGTTTTAAAGTATTGGGTGTTAAGTTATGAAACAACTTCAAGACATAAACTCAGTCTTGGAATATTTTTTATGGGATTGAGCTTGAAAAAATCTTTTACAATTTAATGGAAAAAAGTCCTCTGGGAAAGAATGAAAGACTAACAAAAATGCTAGTCTTGTCAATTAATTTTGTAAACAGTTTAAGAAATATACAGTATCAGCAAGTTTTCAAAAGTCTGGAACCCTGTATTTGATAATGTGGTTTCAAAATGGATGAAATTTTCCAAAGGAGCTACTGTACAACTTTAAGGAGAAAGAGGCTGCACAAATATCAATAAACTGAATAGAAAACAATATGGCCACTATAAAGAAATATGTAGCGTGATTTATACAATTTAGGAACCTCATATTGTCTCAAAAGAAATATAAGCATATTTCCTAGTTGTAGCATTGATTAAACTGAAATCAAATGTGTTAACTAACCATTTACACAAGCATGGACCAAAACTACTAAATTGTAACACAGGCAAATAAAATTGGGTGCATGAAAATTCTCTTCACATGAAGTGATTCTGATAAAATAGTTGGACCTTCAATTAACTCTAGGAACTTCCCTTGTTTTGCTGTTTCCTTGTACAAAATAATTATAACAATACAGTCATAGAACCATTTTGGGACATTTGAACTGCTTGGACCATTGGTTGGACTACAGGGACAGTACGCAGAATGTATTGCATACATTCTATTCATGTTGTAGCCAACTGTTAGTACATTAAGTACATTTCATTCTTTGAATCATTTTATGAATACATGCAATATTAAATAAATTTGGTACTTTATGTTTTTACTATATGCTTGTGATTGTAACTCACTCTTGTCCTGCTTCTGATATACCGTAATAAACAACGTTATTGCAACTCATATATATATATATGTTGATCAATTAGAATAAATAATTGTCAGGAGTTTTCCTGATATTTTAAAACTGACCAAAAAACTGTAATGATATGATCAACTTCATATTTGGTGACATTTTTAATTTTACTCACTTTTTTATAAACTCTCTTCTAAGTCCAATTTCTATGACATTTATTAAACTAAATCCTTTTGTACTAGTCATATTGTATTAATTCATCAGTTGCCTTTTATCTCATTAACTAAAACTATTATGCTAGCAGTTTTACTCTGTAAGATTTAGCTGTTTAAGAAAGCAAGTTTACTCATCACAACTAACATCTATATCTAAAAGAAATATTTTGTATATTGTATATGTGTTACTATTAGGAGATCAGCATAGAAAAAAAATTGTATTACTGTAAGTATATTTTTTAGAACATTGCTTATTAACAAAATACAGTGTATTAATAAATATAACATATTCATGTGCCAGAAACAAATTCATTTTAGTAACTAAACAAAAAATGTAATCTTATCGACTATTAGAAAATACAAACACAATCAAATCACTGCTTAATTAGTTGTACCAGCGTGAGTTAATCTCTTACAACTTTACCTTATCTGAAGACATATTCATATACAGTACGTCTGATTAGAAGTCAGTTCCGTTCTCCTTAAAAATAAGCACCAATAAACCAAAAAAGAATAAAAAGAATCTCTGTTCAGAAAGTGTGCAGAAAGCTTTGTTCAATGAACCATCATCAGCAGAAATTAAAGTTGATAATAGGATTTATTGGCAGCCCATCTGGCAGTAACAGTGTACTGTCAGAACAAACCAATCTGTTAGGGGTGAACCAGGAAGAATCTATTTACCTGCTATAAAAAGAAATTACACATAACATTGCTAAATACAAGCATGAAATACAATTTAAAAAATCTGATAAAAAATTCTGTACAAAGAATGTGCAAAAGTCTGCAGTAACTAGCAAAATGTCAGGATTATGACTTTTTAAACATGTAAAATACAACATGTAATAACTGAACTGAGTTCAGATAACAATGTAATTTCTATGACCAATTTGGTCTGTTCCAAGCACCAATCCTAGTTTCTGTCTAATGGATTAGATTGGAGATTAACTGAGCAAATATAACCTCCTCTTAACGTTGTAAAAAGCATTTATAGATGTACAATCATAGATAATGCAAAACTATAAGGATGTTTTTAATCAGATTAACTTATTAATACAAATTTAAACTCAAAGTCATGTAGCGCATGTGCACTTGAGGTTCATATTCCTAACCTCTATGTGTCACGATCAGAAACCCCTCCTCTTAAGGATGCTCCAGGCCTTCCTTGTTTATTCTTTATCTCCTGCACCTGCCTCCGGTTCCTGCCCCCGTCGTATAAAAACCAGACGTTCCTGCCAATCTGGGCTCAGCCTTGGAAGATGGTTGCCCGGAAACCCGCCTACCAGTGAGTCCAGGAGTGACTTGACGGCATAGGATTCAAAACGGCATCCTGACCACCTGGGTCTGGGACTGGGAGCGCCTGGCCCCATCACCCCCTTCTATTCCCCCGACCCTTCGCCGGAATCCGCTCCGGCTTTTAACTTCGTTCGTCTGTGTCAGGATGGATCACCTGGCTTTGGACTTTGGGTTACTCAGGTTATTTTCACAGATTCTCTTTGGACTTGTTTGCATTGGACACCCCCCCAACACCAGCACACCCTGGACATGCCCCCAGTTCTTCTTCCAGCCCCTATCCTAGTCTTTTTTCCATGTGTTTTCTCACTCCCTCCCAGATTGTGCTGTCTGCATAGGGTCCTGAAAGACGCTTCGTAACACTATGCGAAAATACAACCATCTGAACAGTCTATGAGAACAAAATAGAAGATAATAACATAATTAAACATACATTTATTAATTTAACTGGATTCTCTCGATTACTTCACAAAAGCTAAGGGTACATGTACTTAACTCTTACCAGCTGTTGCTTCGGCAGAGTGGAATCTTCACTGTGAAGGCTGAAATAAAAATAATTGTACACTTTAAGCTCATTTTACAACATCCAGCACAATTAAATGAATGGATTAGTACATTCTCTAGGGATGAATGAAGTCAATAATATTTCTGTCAATAGTACAGTATCTTCCAGGATTCTCAAAGCAGAAAAAAGATCCTAACTGAAGGAATTCAATGTTCCTTGTAATGTGCATCAGCTGTCGGTTAAAATGATATTGTGTTTTAGGTACATGTGTGAATATGGAAGCAACAACAATATAGATAAAGTAAACTCAGGAAACAAATCAATAACATTCTACAGCTTTATTTCATAGAATTTTTTATTCAGGGAATTGTATTGATATGGCTTTTACATAAGAGAATATTTTCAACATTCAGATGGTAACTTTGCATTGCATCTTGGAGGGAGGCAAGAAGACAAGACAAGAATTGAAAAAAAAATTCTGTAAAATGTTGTACCTGTAAAATTCCTGTAAAATTTAATTTTTGTTCACAATATTTATTTTTGTTAAAATGCTTATTTATTTGTAAGAATTACTTGGATGGAAACATTCCACAAAAAACCTCCCAAGAGAGGCTTTTTCTTAATACCGCTTTTTCTTAAAATTATATATTTTTTTAAATTAAAAAGTATATTTTAAAAGCTGCCTTTAAAAATATATTTATACCATAAAATAAAAACCTCATTTACACAGAACTACATAGTATATATTTATAGAGGAACAAGTAATAGGTTTATTCCATGCTGAAAAAAAGAAGAAAGAGAACACAACTCCACGGCCGAAACATTGTGTTCTCTTTCTTCTTTTTTTCAGCATGGAATAAACCTATTACTTGTTCCTTTGCAGCCTAAGCATGCTGACACAGCTACCCACCTGAAATATATTTATAGAGCACATTTATACTCACAAACTGTTTGCAAGGCACTTTAAAGAACAGAAAAATAACAGGTAAATAATATACATAAGCAGAAAATATTTTTTAATTAAGATTATCATTTACTGCATGTACAGTTTTTAGTTTAGATTTACAAATAGAAAATTAAGGACAGGACCAAGAAGATAATTCTAAAGCCAAGGTGTGAAATGTGCAATACTAAAGGTTGCTTCTCAGTTTCACCCTTAAAGTTATGAGAAGTACTGTATCTGATTGGCAGACCTAAAGAGACACTATAACTCATAGGGATAAAGCAGTTCTGTAATGTATTCTGAAGCAAATTTATTTAATGTCTTACAGATTATTAATAACGTCTTAAAGTCAATCCTATATTTGACTGTGAGCCAATGTAAGGAATCCAGTGTTGGAGTGATATGAAATATTAGTTTTGTCTTTGTAATGATTCTAATTTCAGCATTTCACATGAAACCTAAAAACTTAATGAAACATAAAAAGAACATTTCTCAGCATAGAAATGACCAACAATTATTAAGTTATAAAGTTATGAAATTGTACTCTTGCGATATTTATTATCTGTGACTTGGGTACCATTTATTAGGTTACTTTAGACTTCATATTAGCTTAGCTTCTTATAAACCTAATAAGCCTTCTAAGTCAAATCAGTTTAGTCAATTTGTTGTCTAGACCCTACTAATAAGATGTCAGTTTTATCTGTGATTAATTTCAAGAAAGTTTTAAATGCTCATAATCTAGTGCTGGTAATACAATTTGTATATACTGAAAGTAATCATTGTACAAAACAAATAAATACTGTATAGAGAGTTAATAATTAATCACAAAATTAATATTGGTTCATGAATAAAGCCTTGTGGGGCACTACAGGTAATATTTGCTAAATCTGAAACAGCCTCACATAAAGAAACAAAATGTGATTTATGTTAAAAATTCCCCAGAAAGCCTAACCCAGTTTTTAAGATATTAAATGTAGTAAAGATATCCAATAATACAACACAGAAATCAAATTTCAAACTGTATTAAACTGTATTAGCATTGATGTAATTATAATGTTTGAACTTGGAAAAGAAGTGAGATTGAAACTTAGACATTTATTAAATGGAATTAAATGTAAATAATTTAATAAGTTTCAGTATTTTGTTCTTTGACAGAATAACTAACCTATTTTATACATAGAAGAAATTTTAATATTTGATTTTGACATAAACTTAATTGTATAAATTGCGGCACTTTGATATACTTTACCTTTCTTTGTAGCTGTAGTTGTTCTGATGTTGTGCAGGTTGCTATATGTCTGTTGTTTCAAAGGACTCAATTCTGGGCATTTTTCTATTTATACTGTATGTTTCCTCATTTTCAAATACTAAAATAATGCATTCTGAACGATCATGTTTATGTAGGTTATTCTTAAATCTATCGCCATACTACCTGGACATTAAGTAACTCTGACTGTAATTGTAACTATGTCAGTACTTGCTGATTGCTTTTCTGATCTACTGTAAATGCTTGGATGACAGAATTGTTCACATCTTAATTGAATCTTGTTCTACAATGCAAAGACATGCTATCTAGGTTAACTGGGCTCTCTATTGTTTTCTGTTTGAATGTGTATCTGCCCTGTGGTGGACTGGAATCTAAAGTGTTTACTTCTTTGCACATACTGTTTTATGGATTTAGGCTCCAGCTTACCATTAACCTGTAAGGAGGTTATTGAAAATAGATGGATTGTACATATTATTATAACCACATTACTGAACTTGTATGTTTTAATATTTCAATTGTGTATGTGCATTATGATGTTCAGAATTACTCATAGTCACAAAAATAAATGGAAAGACTTACTTGTTTGTTGTCCAGACTTCCCTCAAAATTTCTTTCTGAAGAGGCATGAAGGCACTGATAAGGAGTTATTTGACACCGGAATTCAACCAGAACTCAAAATGGTCAAAGCTTAGGACACCCTCAATGGGTTATACAAAACTGAGATTAACTTCCTGTAAACAACACTAGACCTTTGTCAACACCTGAGCCAGAACAACTGAAACCTTACCATAGACAACCGATCTATCTGGAACCAAGCTGAATTAAATAACAATGGTGTAACAAACAGCTATTCACTGAACAGCAAACTTTTAAAAATAAAACACCATCAAGAGACTAAAAATGTAAAACAACTGCAATACAATGCTCTGCAGCATGACTCACAATATCATGCAGGCAGTACAAAAATGTGTTGTAGAAGATAAAAAAATCTAAAATAAATCAAAACATACATACAGATGTTTTCCAGAAAAATATGAATTCTTGGTTATTAAGAGCTCCAATGTCTTCTGAAATTCAATACCAAACCCAGAATTACTGGAACTCAGTAAAGAAACCAAGATTTCCACAAATTCTAAGTGAAAACATTAGTGGAAAACTATGGAAAAAATTAACTTAAAACAAATATGCAACAAACTAGGCAAGGACAATATAAAATTATGTGTGTGAAAAACGTCTGTCAGTTTACATGATTTCACAATATTATATGATTTCTCCAGTTTATTTTGCCATGCATATTTTTTCCAGTTACTCCATATATTGTAAACAGGTCCTACAAGCAGAAGCTTCTAAATGAAGAGAAAGACTGCCTCCTGACTACAGTAGTGTAATACAACAAAGTTGTTAATTCCTGTGAAGTTTCTCCATGTTTGCAAAAAAAGAATGATGCCCCACAAAAAAAGGCAAATGAGGATTAGCTCCAACAGCAGAGGTTCAGAATATTTATTGCATTCCCTAAAAAAAGTCTTCTTTGTGCACAAAAGCTGTTTAACCAGATTCAAGCTGGTATTGCTCACACACTGAGAAACTGAGAAAGCAGACAAAGTCTGATGTGCAGTCACTGAGGCTAGGTCTTGTAAGAGAGAGGTATTGTCAGGCTACAATGTTTTTTTTTCTAGAAAGGCTATTTCTTCCCTGCAGCTTTTGGAGCTGCTTATCGTACCTAAGCTCCATTCTTAATAGGATTTTAGAAAGTGTAATAGACTGCCAACTCTTTTTCAGGGGAAGCAGGATTCTCAGTCAACATCTGCTATCAGGCGATTAACTAATGGAAGGCTGGTGGCTAGCATTCACCATCTGAGAAAATTTAGCATATAATTCAAGTGCTTTACATTTAAAAGAACAAGAGATGTCTGCCAATTAACTTGTAAAAAATAACTGCTCTTGTATGGACATTTTATTGTGCTTCAAAGCTATTGGCCATAAAAGAAAAAATTTAAATTACTATTGTTTTTTTACCAAAAATCACAAAAAATAAACAGACGGCAATTGAACATGAACATGTCCAGATTATATGCCAGGTCAAAACGGATTACTGGATATATATTTTAAAGTGCTTGTCAGAGTAAGTTTTCACTTACTGAACACTATTCATGTTTTGTGTACAGTTATGCTTTCTTGTTTATAGTTATACTTTCTCCTTTTCCTTAAGAGATGAAAAAAGAAAACAGTTGGTCTTTGTCTTAAAACAGATTACAGAAATACCAGAAAAAATAAATTGCTAGGCAGAGATTGTGGCATGAGGTATTCCTATTATCAAAATCTAAAAATACATAATTATGTTTGTGGTGGAGTTCTGAGTGTGGAGTGAATAAAGACAATTTGTATACTTTCCTTTAGACTGCATTTGATTACAAAATTGCTCCAGAATCAAAGAAAAGACTTAGTTGTATTTGTAAAAAACATTGCTGTGACGTTGTGTTAATAGAATTCACAGTCACATGTTTAGAAAAATATGTTTGCCACATACTATGTGCACATACTATATGGTAACATGTCAAAACCAACCAATAGTGAATCCTTTCCACCTTGTTTTGGTCTTCATCACCACTAAACATATCTCGATTCGGTTATCTTTACAAAAAGTCTCCAAACTCCTTCTTTCTCCGCTACTACTCACCACAACTAGCATGGCACTCAGACAACACTTGAACTGAATGACCATCCTACTTGATTCAAGATGGTGCCAGATACAGGTCCTCACATATTGTACTCTATGTCATGTTGTGTGTTATTTGTGTTACCTTTATACATACAAACTATTCCTGCAGTACTCTTATAAGACTGACATGCTATTTTGAACATTAGATCAAGAGATTCAGACATAAGTTTTAGTATTTTGGACCTAGAACAGCTATCCAGACTACCTTCTTTTGTCTATTGCCACATGATTCACCTGACTCTTCAAGAAAGCACCGAACAAGTACTTAACAACGTAGGATGCAGAAGCATGGTAGAAATGGAGGCCTCCAAGCAAGAATGAAATTCTGTAAGCTCTCAAGCATTCTTCTGGTGAACATTGCTGGAAAATAAACTAGATGAACTCAGTGTGAGGTTGATCAATCAACCAGAGATGAGGGACTTCTGTAATTTGTTTCATAGAGACATGGCCACTCCAAACTCACCTGATCCTGCCCTCCAGCCTGATGGTTTTCCAGACCTTGTATCGATCGCACAGAATTCTCCGGCAAGGGGAAGGAGGTACAGTATACTGTCTGAAAATCACTTCATGCTGTTTAGATGTGACAATCTTGCTTCACTTCTGCTTCCCCTGTCTGAAATATCAAATGGTGAAATGCCACCCTTTCTACCTACTGAGGGAGTTTTCTTCAGTCATCATGACTGCAGTTTACATATCACCTCAAGCAGACAACAAACTTGCACTCAACAAGCCAAACATTGTAATTAACAAACACAAAACTGCAAACCCTGACGCTATATTCATTTTAGCTGGGGATTTTAATCCTGCCAATTTTTAAGAAAATACATCCAAAATACTACCAACATGTTTTCTGTCTCATAAGGCGCTAACACTCTCGACCACTGTTACACTACCATCAAGGATGCCTGTCACTCTTTTTCTCAACTGCATTTTGGTAATCAGGTCACCTGTTTGTGCTTATCCTTCCTGTTTACAAGCAGAAACAGAAGCATGAGAACCTGGTAGTGAAAATGGTACAATGCTGGTCCGAGGAGACAGCGTAAGTACTACAAGAGTGCTTTGAGTCTGTGGACTGGACCAACCAACAAATACACAACAGTTGTTACAGACTTTATCAAGAAATGTGTGGTTAACTGTGTACCTATGAAAAATGTGGACTTTTCCCAACTGGTAACCATGGATTAACCGAGAAATTCATTGCATGCTAACAACCCCATCCTGGGCTTTTATATGCAGTGACTTAAATTTATACAAGAAACCAGGTACAGGTAAGACCTTCAAAAAAGTAATCAAAAGTATTAAAAAACTATATGAGATTTAGAAATTTTGTCTAAGACCTCTAATGCTTGGCACATTACAATCCTTGCAAGCATTACAAGCCATCACCAACTTTAAAGTGAAACCAAGTGGAATCACTGATACAAACACCTCTCTCCTCCATGAGCTTAATGCCTTTTACGCCTGTTTTGAACACATGAACACAGAATCACCTGTGCAAGCCCATACAGCCCCTGACACTTTGGCTGATGTGAGATCAATCTTTAAAGTGGGTTAACACTCCCAAAGCAGCTAATTCGGATGGAATACCTACACAGACCAGTAGGCTGGAGTATTTATAGACCTCTCAGTCTGCTGTTTGCAGCTGTTTCAAGAGGACCACCATTATTCCAGTATCCAAGGAAAATAAGGTAATGTGTCTTAATAATTATCCTGCAGTAGCACTCACATTTATCATAATTAAAGAGTTTTGCGATATTGGTAATGGCACACATTAAGTCTGGATTCACAGACAATCTTGATCCACTTCAGTTTGTATACAGACATAATAGGTTCACAGCTGATGCCATGTCCCTTGCACTACACAGTGCTTTGGCTCATCTAGACAATATAAACACTTAAACCAGATAACTATTCATAATTCATAGATTATTGTGCAGCTTTTAATACCATAATCTCATCCAAGATGGTCACCAAAATCTTGGATCTGGGCCTTAGTGCTTCTCTCTTTCAGCCAGGCAGGCCTCAATCTGTGAGAATAAGCAACAACATCTCCTTCACTCTGATCCTCATCTCAGGAGCCTCCCAGGGCTGTGTGCTCAGGCCCCTGCTCTACTCCCAAAGTCGTGTGGCTAGACGCAGCTCCAACTCCATCTTTAAGTTCACTAATGACACCACTATTGTAGGATTGATCACAAATAATGATGAAACAGAGTACAGGAAAGAGGTTAAGGACCTGGTGTTATGTTCAGGTTCTTGGGCATTCACATCACCAAAAATGTGACCTGGTCCCATCATGTAAATGAAGTAATCACGAGAGCACACGAGCGAATCTACTATCTCAGGAACTTTCTCAGGAGATCCAGGTGATTTGGTATGTCCTCACAAACACTCACAAATATCTACATTACAGTCTGGCATGGCAATTGTCCAGCTCATCCCCATAAAAAAATACATGAGATAGCTGAGGCCATGGTATCGAACGTCATTCCATCCAGACCATCTTCACCATGTGCTGCCTCAGAACTGCAAATAATATAACCAATAACTAAATCCACTCTGGGAATGCACTCTTCTCTTTTCTTCCTTCTAGCAGAAGATTTAGGAGTATAAAATCGCAAACTTCTAGGTTCAAAGGAAGTTTCTACCCCTCAGCCATAAGACTCCTAAACTCTACCTCTTAAATCATCCCATCCCCGCTTATACTCCTCTGTTTTTGCACTGAACTTAAAATACTGCCACTACCTGACAGTAAAAAATACTGTCACTTTTTGACGTGCAAAACATAGCTGCTATCTCAATGCTGGTTAAAATTATAGCTGCTATAATGTTCCTGTCTCCTTGATTGTAATATCATTTGTATGTCATTTTCTATGTCAATGTTACCATATGTCTTCTGTTATGTCATTCATCATGTGGGGATACCATGCAAGTAAGCATTTCATTGTTCTCAGGTACACATGACAATAAACTCAAACTTAAACCTATTAATTTCCAACCAAACAGATTGGTTTGTTACACTTCCAATCTTAAAAAAGTGGAAGTCCTTAACATTGACAGTACAGGACACAAACTTGTGATCACTTTTTTATCTGTAATATTGGATGGGGCTATGTTTGTGTAAGAACGTATGTGTTATTTTGGGTTATGTGTTATTGATTATGTTTCCCCTGCTTTATCCACATCTGTTTTGCTGGCAATTTCTCATGTGACTACAATATGTACTTGGGAAATGTATGTATTTATATTTGTAGTCTCTGTGACTCAATCATCCTACAGTAACTCAAGATATTATCTTGGTTTAAATACTACAATGTAAAATACAAAACCCTCTGTCACAATCATCTATACTCTCTACAAAGGTGTGTTTAAGATACAATTTAGACCCATTTATATTAAGATATTTACATAAAAAATATACACAATGTATTCATTTTCTCCTTTCCATTTTAAAGCTAATGTTTATCCCTGGAAGTGGGTCCTTTCTCTGAAGAGTGAGTGGATCTTGTACTTAAAACCTCTGTAAGCTCTCCTTTATTTTGATAACTCTTAAAAGCATTACACAACAGTCATCTAATAAGGCAGAGTTACATGTTGCCTCACTCCCTATGAATCAATCAAGCTCTTAAGCTATTCTGATTCAATGTTTAATTACTCTGGGAGAGCACTCACTCACTTTCTCTGTGATTAACCTGGTTATTATCCAGTGTAATTTCTTCAACTGAAAGAGGGTGACTTAGGGTGACTTTCATGTGTATAGATTCCAACGGTAAAACTGAAAATTTGCAACATGGGGTTGATGTTGCCAGCTAGATATCCAATAATAATAATGACCACTAGATGGGGTTCTAACTTAAGACCAGACTGTCTAATCACTGCAAAGCACTTAATGTACAAGAGGAAATG